AAGAATGTGAATTCTTTTAAAGAATCTATCGTTAGGTTTAAAATTATTCGCTAATTTCGTAAAGTAGACCGAAATGTTTACAAAACCACTAACAAGAGCGCCTTGATACGTACTAATAAAAATCCCTCTTTCTAGCAATCGGTGCAGAGCACGGTCTCTCGCACACGTTTTCAAATAGATTAAAACTACTATGAGGTTAAACTGCATGTCAAAAGCGCTTAGTTTTCTACAGATAACGGCCAAACATCAAGATTTTCCTTTTCTTACAGTATTTCCTTCACCCCAAAATATCTCGATAACGCTCTGACTTACAGATTTTGCGTACACTTCACGAACATCGAGGTGACCGTATTGGAGAAAAAAGCTCCTGTGAACGATTTTGTAAGGTTCCCAATGCCGAGAATTATTGCTGAAGTAAAATAGGTAATGGCGTCATTTCGTTGCTATGACAATTCCGATGTCATTGCAACCCTGATAATGACAAATTTTCATCTTAATACAACTGTGGTGGCAATTTTTCCACATGCTTGTTTATGGCGACATAGTTTATACTCAATCTTGGTATTGACCCTGAAAACTAACTGTATCAAGCCATCTTCATATGCCAGTACGGCCTATGTTGTTGTAATGCGGCCCTCCTTTCTTTCCGACTCTTTTGTAAAAATTTGGGCAACCTGCGAGATTTTTTTGGGCAAATGGTTTACCGCCCCCCCCCCCTGGCAAAAAATTTCCCGTACGCCTACAGGGGCGGATCCAGGATTTTTTTTAGGAGGGGGTGCACTCGTCTCTTGCCCTACTTCAACACCAATAAACCACATAGTTTTTTTTTGCAGAATACCAGTTGTATTAGAAAACCGCAGGTCATCTCAAGGGGGGGGGAGGGGTGCGCACCCCCTGCACCCTCCCCCTAGATCCGCCCCTGGCCTATGTGGTTTATTGATTTGTTCATATTTTAAAGACAGACGAGTGCATTTACAGCGGTTATAAGGGGATGCATACTTTTAAACTGTGTTCGTGAAAGGGGTACCATTTGTCAACAAAAGGTACAGTCTAACCTCTCCTTACAGACACCTCTATGATACGGACACCTCCCTGATCTATTATGGACCGTTCGTTTGGTCCCAGAAAAGCCAAAAATCATACATTCCCTACCTCTATAATACAGACGCCCCTGTAAAGCGGACACTTGGTTCCGGTAACTTTGGTGTACGTATTAAAGAGGTTTAACTGTATACCAAAGAGTAAGGATTGGATCTCGGGGGCGCAGCCTCCCTACTGAGTACTTCCCGGGGTGGGGGCGCTTAATTACCCGGAAACGAAAGCTGCGCGTGAAAGCGGCCCTTAACAACGACATCCAGTATGGATAGTTAGATCAGAGCATAATTCAGTTTAGCGCAAGAGAGGATAAAGGGGACAGAGAAGGCATCCCCTATACACACCCTATTCCATAGGTAATTCGTCTCGAGTTATTTTTAAGACCACAGATCCCAAGGGGGATTAGACAACAGCCAATCACATAGCGCGAATGTGTTGCGCGTGGATGACCCACGCTCAGAGCCACGCGTCCTTCACGAATTGACGCAGAACAAAATGGCGGAGAGCGATATTGCTAGCTGTTGCTATTCGTGTTGTCGACGAAAACGACTACAGAGAGATTTCTGCTAAAGCTGTGTCAGTGAAACGGAAATTAAAAAAGAATCGCCCTTCCTCTCTTGTATAGAGCTAACAGTACAGCAGGGAAATCCTTAACACACTGAATAGTCTGTCAGGATCATTTATAATTTACAGTTTGAATAGAGCAATTTCTGGTTTGATATTTATTCTTTTGTTATTCAACAAAAATAACACTTGGCGTCCTACTTGCTTTATTGTACAGACGACCGGTTTCAATAGACCGGCGAAATTTCTCATTTTATTAAAGCAGTGAGGTTACGACAACTTCGAGTTAAACTGATTTCACGGGTTGTCAAAGAGGTCAGCGATTCCCTTTTCCCAGGTGAGCGCCGATTTATTTCGCTTCAATATTCAGGAATGCTCTCGATCTCTTTACGCTTTCATTGCCTTTCGCCCGACATGTTTTGCACGGCGTTTAATTATGCGAAACCTCCACGAAACATCCACGCAGCGCCCGAGGTAACTTTATCCCGATTCTAAAAATAATTCGAGACGAATTACCTATGGAATAGGGTGTGTATGGAGGATACCTACTCTGGCCCCTTTATCCTCTCTTGGTTTCGCGTTATTGATGGAAAATAATCACATAAGTATGACAGCGGGTATAAGCTAGTATACTGAGTATACTGCTTTAGAATAATCTATCCAAGCCTAGAAAAAAACTAGCATTCAAACTATGTTTTTAATTAACAGAATCTACTGAAATAACACTTTTTCTTCTTTAAAGTTTGTGTAGAATACATTAACTTTTGATGTACAAGGTCGACATATTTTATTCAGCCCAAAGTTGTTGGTAAGTAACAACATTGGGAGGTCACGTTCCGAAATGAACATCTCAGATGTTTGTGTAATCATTGGCAGAATCAGAGGATGGACGACGGATTGACCAGATCAAGCAACCAAATGGCCTGCACAGGTAAACGTTTCGTCGTAAAGAAAGAATCCCTTGCACATTGTCAACTGGTTTCTGAAGGGATATCTTGTGGTGCAATTTTATCCTTGGTTTAAATTTTATTTCTCTTTGTTTTGAACTCATTATCATTCATTACCATACCCTTAAACAAAGGGAAATAAAATTTAAACCAAGGATAAAAATGAACCATAACAGATACCTCCGAGCGCTTGATCATAATGGGCAGATCATTTATATAAAGAAGAAACCACAAGGAGCTCAATAATACTGCCCTGGGGTTCCATGCGTAACTTTGACCGCGGTAACTTTGTACGACCGTTATACGACGGTAGACTGCAAAACAGTCCGTATTTTTGCGTATTCAAGTACGCGCGATCAGTCAAACAAAAGGTCTGGAACGAGGCTGAAAACAGAGAGCGAGACTGGGGAGAGACGCTAAAATTTTTTTTTCTCTCGCCTCACACGCCCTACGCGTGTGAGGCTCGCGCGAGAAGCGCGCGTAAGACTCTTACGCCACGCTTTTCCGATTTCTTTACTGATTTTGAGAAAAAAAACCGACTGTTTTGCAGTCTATACGACGGCTGAGGCCTGAAACCAAAGTTTGTCTTTTTCGGTTAAGGTGTTTCGATCATAGTGCACTTTTTGGGAAACCATACTGGCATTTTTCCAGTCAAAATCTGAAAGTAGAGACTGATAACTAAACAGTTTGACATCGATCTATTAATTCTGTATCTTAAAACCAAATAAGAGGACATTGCAAGATTGCAGTCCTTATTTTTTCAATTGAAATATGAATGAATTAATAAATAAGGATGAATGCTGTGTAATGTCATCCATTTTCAACGATGTGAAATTATTGTGTGCTGAAGCATATTATTATAGGCTCCTGTTGCTTGTTGTCTGTGTATTGAGCAAACTCAGTGTACCGAAAAAAAAAACCGTATCGAAACACCAAAACATGCCATAATTTATACTATAACTTTTTTTCTTTACCAGACTTCACCAAATATGGAGCATTGTGTCAATCAAATTTCATACGCGCATGTCATGGTTGCACCAAATATGACGTCACATTTCATGACATCATTCCTACTTTTACCCCATAAATTTTTCAAAGGTACACGCAGGGAACCCAAAAGCTGTATTAGCAAAATCACGATCCGTTGTTATTTGCCTGTGTTTTAGAATCCTTTTTGGAAGGGGTTTCAATCAGATCGAAAGCAAACCTTACAGGCTTAACCCTTTCACTGCCAGAGTGGATGATGGAGTTTGTGAGGTGGTTCTAACCCTGTGGTGTGACCATTCAAATGAAATCTCTTTGGAAGTACTTTCATGTGGTGTTATTTGTTTAAAAAAATTTTACAAAATGAAATTTGGGATTTTTGTCAAATTTGCATTTGGTCATATTGGGTAGTGAAAGGGTTAAGAGGACTATTCGGGTCCGCAAGATGTACATTGTGTATTCTTCTACCAAGATATGGTTATAACCAACATCAACAACAGCATCAACAAGCTTTATTTACATCCCTATAACCGAATACTACAGTGCTGCAAAAGCTATTATAACTAATTCTCCATTCGTAATAAATTAATTCTGAAAATAACGTTAAAAAATTAAAAGAAAAATACATAAAAGTAAATAATTGCTTAACAATTTAGCTGGATCAGAAATTAGCCCAAAGATAGCAACTTATGTATTGTAAAAAATATGTGGTCGACTGTATTAAAGGCGTTCCAGAGGTCTTAGAATACAGCTCAACGTAATTTACCTCTTTGCTGACAGCTCCGTGTCTATAGCATCTATCCGATGCCTCACAGGGTTTAACGAGCTGTTTTTGACTTTCATTTTAAGGAACTTTGTGTCATCGACTGCCAAAAGACACTAAACTTTGATAAATCACATGAACTTTATTACAAGAACTGAGGGGTATAAGTGTCCTTTTTTTGACAAAATACAAAAAGTTAAGAATACCCAGAACAAAACACAGTCGTAACGATAAGAAACACCCACATTTTTTAAAGTACCATGGAACGGGGTGGTTTTTGCTTTTAAGAGCAAAACGAAGAGAATATATAGCAGCTACGAATGACGCTCTATGAATGCCATCGTATGGTATATATGCTACTTTTTAGTTGAATATTAAAATAATTTTAGGCTATAACTTGAAAATTCATAAGCTTTCCCTTAATTTCTCTATTGTTACGTGCCGAGTTATCCCATTAAATCGATCGTTGTTTGCAATGACCGTGTCTACATTCATTTGGTCCCGTATAACAAAATTGTTGTGACACCTAATAACAAGGGAGCACTGATGAGCCTAATCATACTCAAATCTGAGCTAAAAGTTCATATTCTCGGATCCCTCCTATTAAAAGCAGAGAGTTGTATCGGAGAGTTGATCTTATCCCTAGAAGGGGAAATTCGATTGACTTCGAAACGGGTCGTTTTTCGCGAACAAAACAAAAGACGGAGATTTCTTCTGAAACTGGCGTCACAGAAGGCGTATATGATCGGATTAAAAATGGAACTCGTCAGAGAGAAACAGTCAAAAAGGGGCCTTAACGGTAAATTTCCTGAAGCTTTTTTTCGCCGGTGAACGTGATAAGAATGATAAGAAGTAATGATGTCTAGAATCATTATTGGACCCCAGCTGATGATAAAACTGAGGACGACAAACACACACGTTCGCACCGCGCGCAGTTTAGCTCTTGCTATGTTACGGTGTACGTGATTACTCGCTTTTGCTTTGTTCCAAAGAAAGCAAGTTATCTTAGTGTATGAGAATATGATGCAAACCAAAGGTACAACAAAAGCCAACAGAAAATAAGTAGTAAAGGCAATCTGTCGCTCTAATGATCCCACAGATCCCGGTGTGCAGTGCCTAATATCTCGCCAGCGGCTTACGTTGTTCTGCGTTAAGTTTAAGAATGGACGCTCCTTATAGCGGAAATTAAAAATATTCACAGACACAGTAGCGCTTGGAATGAATCCGGAACAAATTAACATGGCATAAACCCAGATCAGAAGCATAGTCAAGCATTTTCTTGGCTTCAATCCCAAACTTCGAAGTGGAAATATGATGTGAATGTACCGATCGAGGGCAATCCCTGAAAGCAGCTCGAACGTCACCGCGGCGCAGGTAAACTGTGTAAATATCACTGTTTTACAATGTTCAGGACTTATTTCCCAAAAGTTCTCAAATGTTTTACGAAGCACATTAAGAGCTCTGAATACTAGGTCTGTGATCGCCAACTGAAGAAGGAGGAAGTTGGATAACTTTGCATTGGGCTGTGTGGCTCTTCCCGATTTAGAAACTTTGAGGAGAACCAAGCACACAACGATATTTTCTGCTGCGCCTAACGCCAACAAGACCAGACTAGTACCGTACAAGTTCTTCCGGTAATTATCAAGCTCTCTTTTAAACTTTATAGCCTGCCGGTATGTATCAAGAGGGGACGAAGTGTTTCTTTGGATTTCTGATAACATCTCCATGACTGTGTTTTCGTTCCTTTTCCTTTCTTTTGCTGCTGTTGAACTGTCAATATGAATTTGCCCCTGTACTTTAATTATTCAGGTCAGTGTGCAAAACAAATAATGCCAGAAGCCTAACTCACAGTAACTTTTCTTCATCTGATTAAGTGGCCTGAGCTATCCGCCAGGTGCGTGCAACTCGTACTGCACCAAAGCAAAAATGACACATGGATTATCCAGTACTTGAAGTAACGAAGCTGCCTTTTAACTTGTGCTTCGTCACCTGGGTTTGAGCACGTAAAGTTAAACTATTTTTGGTGTCCACGCCTTCTTTGTCAAGAAACAATGCAATGTTGCGGTTTCGGCAAAA